TATATATATATATATAGGTTTAGTCATTCTCATGGATCATTCTGCAAAAGTCTTTTCCTTGTCTCGTATGTCGGATTTTAGAAGTACGAACCTAGCGCACGTGCATCATAATTTCTTTAAAATTTTCTTACCAACAACGAAGATTTAGCCATAGCTATTTGATATGACCTTTGGTCGCGTGAATGATCAACGAAAACTTACAGTTGTTCTTCTATGCCCTCGACTATGGTATCCACTCAATCTAATTTTACGACGCACGATCTAACGCCAAGTAATCCCTTCTGGTGAAAAAGCTAGGAATCCTAAACCAGATTTTCGGAGAGTGTTCTCTTTCGATCTTGATCTCTCAATCTCTAAGATTTTTGGGATCTGTTTCTCTTCGTCGATCAATAACGGTGAAAAGATAATGAGATATTTATAATTAGGTCACACCTAATTATATGGGCCTTAGGGGACCCTATAGCCCAATAGGTAATTGGACCTAATCCAATTAATAATTCAATTAAGTATAAATCTAATTCAACCTAATTAAATATTTTCTATCAAATAGAAAATAATATCATTACTCATAAATAAATATTCTAATCTAATTGATTTATCACTCTCGATTCACTCTTAGTCGAAAAACTGGTTGCATATTGTGTGGCCCTATAGACCTTCATATATTGACATAAATCTAGTTTATGATCCTTACGAAACTCCTAGACTGTGTGGACGAACTCAAAATATGAAGTACGTTTACATGAACCAAGAAAACAAACCTTTAGTGTAGAAGTCAATAGTGATACGGTCCCTTCATTCACGAACCACTCGATTAAGCTTAGGACTTGAACGTGTGTCCATCCAAAAAGCTTAATCATTTTATCTCATCTTACTGGTTGATTTTGATTAATTATATTTAAACACCATTTCAAATATAATCACGTGCATTGGTCAATGACTTTATCAACCCAGTATAACGAAAATGAGTGCTCTCTCGAAACTATATTCGATTAATGAATCCTATCATGGCTCAACTACCAATTCCATGCATATCGTGATCTACCCAACACATGTCCGTGTCTACCCCATAAGGAGCGTAAACGTTGGACTAGGTCTAAGTAAATCACTCTATACTTGAATTGTGTATTGACCTCAAGTCAAAGGATTATCACACCATTCCACACATCGATACTTTCATAGACACATAAATAAATGGTTTATATCGGTAAGGTATGCCAATACTCTCCAAAGTGTCCATGTGTCCATCACGAATAACAATTATTCATACTAGTGAGACATATTATATTCTTCAAGTATATGATGCAGACCACATGTCAGTCTATTGCATATCATTAATATCCATTTCTTAATGATCTTCGATTGAGGCGATTCGAGAGTTATACTTTATCAATTAACATCTCACTCCGTTAATGACAATATCAACTCAAGAAAGTAATTAATTAATAAATTGCAAACAATCAGACAATTATTTAATTAATTGCAATACCATAATTATAATTCAATATAATATTAATGTGATTATGTATATATGTCTTAAAAAATATTGTCTGTAAGACACATATACCAACATAGTACCCATCAAAAAAGAAAAAACAATTAAACATACTTCCCATTTGTTTTCCATTGGAAAATAATAATAATAATAATAAGTCTAGATTAAATTAATATCATCATTGAGAAGATGAAGAACCAAAGCTATCACCCCTATAGTACCTAAGCTCCAATGATATTTGCCTCTCATACTGAAGCTGCTTGTAGAAGTTTGCAATAAAAGCTTCTGCCCTTTTATCAATATCGTCTTCTGATGACGGGTAGCTTATGGTCCTCTGCAGGCTCCGGCCGTTTGACGAGCCCGGGTTGTTTGGGCCCAGCGGGCCCACATCATCCACACAGGCCCTCAATCCAGCCCGGTCGTTGAAGCTCAGTCTTTTCTTGCCGGACGACACACCAATAATGGATGCGAGCTTCCATTTATTTAGGTTGAAGTTTATTAGGAATTTGATTTTCTTGACCGCCCTTTTCAGCTTGTCTAGCAATAGCCACCTCTCGTTCGCCATGTTTACTTTTATACAATAATGGATGTTGAAAGAGAGAAATTAAAAATTGTTGTTACTTGTATTTGTATGTGGAATTTTGTAGGTAGGTTGAATAAATGGGGCCTTGTTGGTTATATATATATACTTGGGTGGGCGGGCGCGTATATTTATTTTATCATAGTTAATTGTTGGTTACAAGGTTTTACAAGTTAGATTTTAGTTAGCTAGATTATTTTTTTAATTGATTTATTATTATTATTATTTGGAATGTTTGCGAAATGCTATAATTATATTAAATAATTATTTTAACTATTTCATTTAAAGAGTCTGATTTTATAGAAAATTACATTCAATTCTTAGGATCCTTTTATCGTTTCAACCTTAATTTTTGTGGCACCATTACCAATCATCTACTTCATTTAATTTTATTAAATAATTATTTTACCTGTTTCATTTAAGAATTCTGATTTTGTAGAAAATTACATTCAATGCTTAGGACCCTCATTAAGTTATCATTTCAACCTTAATTTTTGTGGCAACATTACCAATCATCAATTTTAGTGTAAACTCGAACATAAGTAATAAGTTATTATTAATTGATGATGATATTCATGTTCTTTTTGATGACATTTAGTCTATATTGTATAATAATTAGTGTTTACCAACATGAAGAATATTAAAATTTATGGAATTTATTGACGAAATTACGCGTGATGAGATGGAAAGAAAATTGCTAGGCAAGATAAAGGCGTGGGGTAAGGACAACCGTGTTGCATATAAGGAAAGCTATTTTATGGACGACTATTTTCAAATGAAATGTTTGATCTGGTGTTGCATGCATACACTTTTGTTTCGAATTCTTTATTATATGAACAATCTATACAAATTTTAGAGTCAAGGCCAATTTTAGTTTTAAGTATAGCATGGTTGATTTTAATTTAGGTTTTTATATATATATAAAAAGGTTGTTATTTATTTGGTCATCGGTCCCCGTCGGAAACTTTTCTATTTCGTAGTAGTACAACTGTACAAAAACAAGTTTCATCTAAGGTGGCTACAACTGCTGATTTGGAGGCGGAATAGGAATTGCAATATTAGTTTATTGAAAAAAAAAAATATTAATTTATTTTGTGGCAAAGTTTTTGGCAGTTGTGGCGGCTAAGGGTCCGGGTGATCTGCACCGGTTAGAAATGTTTGATTTCTACCAAGGCCCGGTTAGCTAACAATCTTCTTTCATGGCAGCCGGAACCCTTTCTCAAAAGAGATGGGGGAGTTTCGTTCGATGTATTTGACCTGTCTTTCCCCAGATAGGTCAATTTAGGCATAGAACTGGAGTTATCTGCACTCGGTTGGAGCGGGTATGTGGCTACAGCATGATTTGGTCGGGGTGTTCCAACCCCGCCGGATTGTGCATTAGCGATAGCGTCAGCGTCGCTCCCATTTCTTGTACCAAATAAATAAATAAATAAAATAACAAATTTAAAACATATAGAAAGAATAATTAAATAATAAGTGTATTCAGGGACAGATCTAGAAATTTATTTTGAGAAGACTATATTTTTGAATAATCATAGATTTAATTTAGGCACCGTTTGTTCTGAGGGATTTTGAAATCCCTTGATTTCAAAGTTTTTGAAATATAATTTTTTTATTTGCACACTCCTTGTTGGATGTATTGAAAATATTATAATTCAATTGTCTAGCTCGCACCGATGGTGTTGACTCGCGGTGGTGATTAACTTAAATGATCGCAGACGGCGTGGTCGTCAAAGTTAATAAACAGTGGATTTCAAATAACTAAGTTTGAGAAGTCATTTCAAATCCTTCAAAATAATGACAAAAAACATCTAGCATGAATTTGAAATCCTCCAACTTCCGTTATCATCCCAACATACATGAGGATTTAAAATCTCTCAGTAAATCCTTCAATCCAAACTTAGCCTTAATGTACATAAAAATTGAAAGTTGTATTATAAAATTATATATAATTATAGTGCAATATAAATTTTAAAATTTAAAACCTTACAGTAACAAATTTAGATTGACTGCTCTCTCCACTCATGACTCAATTTTTATATGGTCTTATAGTAACAGTTTTTTCTTTCTATTAAGCATATCTTATATATATGGCAAAAAAAGTTTTGTATTCCCGTAACTGACCTTTTTTTTTTCTTTGCTTTTGGTCCCAATACAGATCCGTTTTTGGAAATGGTTCTGTAAGTGAAAAAAAAATTAGTTGTTTGGTCCCCTAACGCCTGTAGAAGGTCAGAGTTACCGGCTAGCCTACGTAGAAATTCACCTGATTTTTCTTTTCTTTTTTTTTTGGAGGGTTTTGAGCCATTTGAACTAACAAAATTTGTGTTAAAAATTCGATTTCACTTGTATATCTACCAACATTATTTTATATATATATATAGGGAATGGTTCAGATGCGCCCGCTTTTTAAAAGTGAGGACGTGAGACCTGATCTCGTCCGTTCACTCCTCATCTAATCTAACGTTCAGAATTAATTTATTACATTAATTAATATTTCGTGGGCGGTTCGTCTTTCATCTCTACTTTACTTTCCATCTCCCGCTTCCATTTTCGCATATGCTCCTTGTTTCTGTTCCATTCTCTTCCATTTTTCGATTTCGATTTTGCTTTTCGTCTAAATTTCTGTTTCTGTTTTATCGTTCGGAGTCTATTCTCGCAAATTCTCGTCTTAATCGGTGAGTATTTTTGCTGTTGTTTTTGTTTGTAATCACTTTTTCGATTTTAGGTTTTTCATTCTTTCATTTAATAGATTAAAGTAATAGGTTTTGGTTATTTTTTATGATCTGTGTTAGTTTTTTTTTAAGTAAAATCATGTATAAAGTATATATCATTAGTATTTTTAGGGTTCTGTTGGTTGTGTGTCTGAGTTGCAAGGTTATTGATGTTTAGTTGCAAGGTTAGGTGTCTATGTTGCTAGGTTAGTTTCTGATGCTGCTAGGTTAGTTATCTTTTGCTGCTAGGTTAGTTGTCTGTTGTTTGCTAAGTTAGTTGTCTTTTGCTGCTAGGTTAGTTGTCTGATGCTGCTAGGTTAGTTATCTGATGCTGCTAGGTTAGTTGTTTGATGCTGCTAGGTTAGTTGTCTGTTGCTGCTAGGTTAGTTGTCTGATGCTGCTAGGTTAGTTGTCTTTTGCTGCTAGGTTAGGTGTCTGATGCTGCTAGGTTAGTTGTCTTTTGTTGCTAGGTTAGTTATACCTAGTTGCAATCTTAGTTGCAAGGCTACTTCTCTGCTGATGCAAGGTTTGTTCTCTATAGTTGATATTTTTTATTTTTGTAACTCAGTTTAATTTGAAGAAATGTCTATGCCAAATGAGCATCCGGGGGATGATCATATTCTTTTGCTGACTGATTCATCTCGCCCTCCTGTACGTCAAGCTTGTGAACGGCAGCCTAATGTTCGTTTACCCAAGCTGTCAACACGTTTTTCTCCAAAAGTTCTGGTTGAAGCTATTGCTCAATTCAATGATGACCAGAAAAGAGCAGTAGAAAAAATGGAGTTTGGATATTTGCTGCAGCTCAAAATCAAAGAGATTTTAACCCATTTCTCTTACTGGGTGTTGGATAATTTTGACCCATTTAGCTCTGTATTGCGTTTTAGTGAGGGCAACATCCACATTGATGCTGTTGATGTTGTGAGAAGGTATTAGGCTTGCCGAGAGGGGAGAAGCCTATCCAATTAAAGAATAAGTCTGAAGACTGTGAGCTGTTGAATAATTGGAGGAGTAAGTTTCAAAAATCTTTTGATAAAATCACTGTCGACTATGTCAGCAAGGAAATGTTGCAGTGTGATGATGGTGGTGAAATGTTTTATTGTCATTTTGCTGCTTTGGTTGATGCTTTGATCATTGGATCAATTTCTGCTGGTTATGTCAAATCTCTTTTCTTCAAGTCCATTACTGACATAACATCTGTTTATGAGCTGGATTGGACTGAATACACTCTTCAAAGTCTGATTACAAAAGACTAAAATGGGAAAAGAGCAACAGGACTGCTTTTAATAGGCCTCTCCTTTTTCTGATTGTAAGAATTTATTTCTATATTATTCTTAATCAATTTATTTATATTCCAGTTATATATATATATTTTCAAAATGCAGGTTTTATACGTTGATCAACTAGTTTTTATAAATCGTGAAGTTACAAGGAGTATCCCTTCTTTTGTTGGTTGGAACTGTGAGCTCTTGCGCAAGAGAACCAATGATGAGATAAAAAAATGGTGGTTTTGGCCGAGGTTTTATTGATAGTCGTATGGAAATCTTGCCATTAGACTCATTAAAACAAAACAGAAGAAGATGTCTGATGATTCTGTTCAGGTTGGTGTTTATTTGATTTATGGTGGATAAATAGTTGTTGTAAGATGCATATGTAGTTGCTAGGTTATTTGCTTGTAGTTGCTAGGTTAGTTGACTTGCCAGGGTAGTTGTCTGTTTCTGCTAGGTTAGTTGTCTTTAGTTGCTAGGTTAGATGTCTGATGCTGCTAGGTTAGTTTTCTGATGTTGCTAGGTTATTTACTTCTAGTTGCTAGGTTAGTTGTCTGATGCTGCTAGGTTATTTACTTGTAGTTGCTAGGTTAGTTGTCTGTTGTTGCTACGTTATTTACTTGTAGTTGCTAGGTTAGTTGTTTATTGATGCTAGGCTAGTTGACTGTTGTTGCTAGTTTATTTAGTTGTAGTTGCTAGGTTAGTTGTCCTTAGTTGCTAGGTTATTTGCTTGTAGTTGCTAGGTTAGTTGACTTTAGTTGCTAGATTAGTTGTCTGTTGCTGCTAGCTTAGTTTTCTGATGCTGCTAGGTTAGTTGTCTGTTGCTGCTAGGTTAGTTGCATATTTACTTCTTTTATTATGCATGTTCAGTTTATTTTTCCTCCATATTTTCTTATAATTGTTCACTTTGTTTAATTTTATGTATAAACAGGGTTATAAATCCAATCTTCTTAGCAAGGTTATGTGCTTGGCTACTGATGTGGTTGATGTTATAACCTTGCTTGAAGAT